GGATGTACTCAAGGAATTCCACAATGGTCCTAGTGGAGGGCACCTGGAAATCACGAAGACCCTGGAGAAGGTTAAGCAGAGGTTCTATTGGGTTGGTTGTCGGCAATCGGTCGCAGAATGGATTGCTAACTGCGCGGAGTGTATTGCAGCTAAGGGGCCGAAATCCAGAAGTCATGGCCAGATGAAGCAATATAACTCAGGTGCACCTTTCGAGCGGATTGCCATGGATGTAGCCGGTCCATTTTCTATGAGCGCACAGGGAAACAAATACGTCCTTGTGGTTATGGACTACTTTAGCAAATGGCCGGAGGTATACCCGATTCCAAACCAGGAAGCTAAAACAGTAGCGGAGGTATTCACCTACAATTGGGTTGCGAGATACGGGGTACCTATAGAGCTGCACTCTGACCAGGGAAGAAGTTTTGAATCGGCGGTGTTCCAAGAGATGTGCCAGATACTGGGTATCCGAAAAACTCGAACAACGGCTGTTCATCCCCAATCAGATGGCATGGTGGAGCGGTCCAAGCGAACCCTGGAAGAGCATTTGCGGAAGGTCGTGGACAAAACTCAGAAAGATTGGGACAGTGCATGAAACAACGGGTAAAACTCCTGCAAGGGTAATCTTCTGCAGTGAGCTCCGTTTGCCTAGTGACCTGAAGTTTGGAGTAACTGGCGATGCAAGGAGAATTGGGAAAGAGACGTCCAACATCCTGGAAGAGGAGTTAAGAGAAATACATGCTCTTGTGAGGCAGCGAACTCAAATTATGAGTGATAAAATGAAGGCCAGATATGATAAGGCAATGAACTCCGAGGGTTTCCAAGAGGGAGACTTAGTGTTGCTGTACAATCCACAACGGAAGAAAGGATTGTCCCCAAAACTACAATGCAACTGGGAAGGACCGTATAAGGTCGTCAAACGGCTGAATGACGTAGTGTATCGAATCCAGACCATTGGGAGACCAAGAAACAAGATAAGGGTGGTCCACTTGGAAAGGTTTGCAGCGTTTGGAACAGCAAGTGTGTCTGATCGGGACGATCAGACTTAGGTGGAGGGCAGTGTGACGAATACTGCGAAGCGAACAACGAGAAATAGGCAGAATGTTCGAGGAATGACGTAGAATGTTCCACAAAGAGAAACGTCAAGTTGGATGAACACTGCGAACAGCGAGAGAAAGGGAATGAGCGATAAACTTCAGAACGTTCTACACCTTTTCCAATAGTATTTCAGAAAAACACAAATGTAAAAAAGGCCAAATGTGTGTCTGAAAACCTCACATTATATTCAGAAAACCTCAATTGATTTTCAGAAAAGGCCAAATGTGTTTCAGAAAACCTCAAATTATATTCAGAAAAACTCAAATAAAATTCAGAAAAGGCCGAATGAATCTCAGAAAACCCCAAATGTATTTCAGAAAACCCCAAATGTATTTCAGAAACCCTCAAATGAAATTCAGAAAAGGCCAAATGTATTTCAGAAAAACTCAATTGAAATTCCGAAAAACGCAAACGAAATTCAGAAAAGGGCAAATGAAATTCAGAAATCATTTCCAGAACACTTTTATCAATGGACTTTTTATAATCACTCTTATGGTGTTTTCGGTTCAATAAAAAGGTTGCCTTCTTATCCCCCTCTTCTTAGTGTTTGTGCGTAGAGGGCAAAGAGTAGGTTGTATTTTTCGGTAGAAACGAAATCGGCATTAGAAAACATAATGACTTATTAATTCATATCCCGATTAACCCCTCACCCACTTTTTGTAATGGAGTAAAACAGGATAACACTTGTAAAAAAGCATATTTATTTAAACGAAATGTTTTAAATTCCAACAGACATATCCCGCAAGGCCAAAGCATACAAAAAAACACCGATGAGTGCGAGATAGCACGAGCGCAATCCGCAGTAGTAACGCTTTCTTTCGCTTGGCGAATTATTTCTTCCAAGTATTGCAGTCTCGTTTCTACTATTCCCGGTCCGTCGATAGAAGGAATGCCCATATGAGTTTTGACATAACTTTTTATTTTTGCCCAAATATTCTCAATCGGATTGAACATGGGCGAGTATGGATCCAAGCGCAAAAAGGTGGGCGAACCGCTACTGCCAAACTTGCTCAAGTCTAGTATGACAGGGTGCATTGTCGCACACCAATACCAGATCTGACATTGTGTTGCCCATGCTCGTCCACTTGTCTAAAGGTATTGGCCCAATGCACGCTTGCTTTGCTTGCTTGGCTTTGAGAACTGTCAAACAATTTTTAAAATCTACTAAAATGTATGAAAGTTGGCCTAGTGGCAGCTTTACTTCACTTGCTTGAAGCGCTTTAAAGTATCGATTAGCCGAAATCTCTATTTGACAGCGCGCTGTAGGCTTTTGACAACTCTTGACATTTAAATTTTTCGCGTCGATTTTGCTTGTGTGCAGTTTTTATCGCGTTCTTCATCAATTTTAGGTAAAATAATTTATATTAAACAATTATTTGTTGCTAACAACATTATTTTTTCAGATACCTTGCTTTTTATCGTTCCGGCCACCAGATTCGTTGGTTTTCATAAAGTTTCATTTGCCTGTGCCACTTCCACCCGTGTTTATAAGGCGTAATATTCAACTGGAGGTAAAAGAGTTTATATTAAACAATTATTTGTTGCTAACAACATTATTTTTTTCAGATACCTTGCTTTTTATCGTTCCAGCCACCAGATTCGTTGGTTTTCATAAAGTTTCATTTGCCTGTGCCACTTCCACCCGTGTTTATAAGGCGTAATATTCAACTGGAGGTAAAAGAGTTTATATTAAACAATTATTTGTTATTAATAATATTATTTGTTGCTAACAACAATATTTTTTACAGATACCTTACTTTTTTATCGTTCCGGCTGCTGTATTATCCGATTCTTGTGTGTTGGTTGGTATATCGGAAGCTTTAGTGCAAGATGTTCGAAGAAAAACTTATAGCAGAGATTGAAAAACACAACTGCTTGTGGGACAAACGACAGCTTAGTTACCGCGATCGGGTGAAGAAAGATTTGGCTTGGCGAAATGTAGCTGCTGCTGTGGGACATCCTGGTTAGTATAGAGTTTTTCAAACATATAGCAGTTTTGTAATAGGACGAACCAAATTATAACAAATTTGTGACGAATAATTGTGACGAATACTATATTTTTACTTTACAGAGGAAAACTGCCGAAAGCGATGGAAATCGTTAAGAGACCGATATGGAATAGAATTGAAGGTTGATCAACAACCTAACGGAAGTGCTGCGTCGTTTAGACGAGCTTGGCCATATTACGAAGCTATGTTGTTTTTGAAAGACACGGTCACGCCCAGACAGTAAGTGTACTTTACATTTGTACAACAAGTATTTATATTTTAAATTGTAATTTATATGTACATATTTTAAGGACAACAACAAACATCGTCTCCCAAACGCCAGAAGTTCTCGGACAAGAACCAGATATACTGGATACTTCCTTTGGATTCCAAATAGGCGAGAGTGGGAACATTATAATAGAAGAGCAAGAAACCACTGCCCCAACGCCGGCTAAGAGACAAAAGAAAAAAAACGATGAGAACGCCGCCTTTAACGATCTAGTCAACGAAGTAAGTCAGTTTGTGGATAGTCAAAAAAAAACACACAACAATATCTTGGGTGCGATTGGCGAAGTGTTTGAGAAGGTGCCAGAAGAGAGCCGCCTAGATTTTCAAATGGACGTACTTCAATACGTCTATGCTCAATATAAAAATTATAAAAATTGAATTTACGAAATTTAAAAATTTAAATGACATCCAGTTTGAATTCAATTTTGCGAACTTTATATGTAATCTAATTTAGTATGAAATCTGATTTTGATTTTGCGAATTAAATATGTAATCGAATTTAATATGCAATCTCACAGAAAATGCTTGCTATAATTTCATTGTTTCTAATCAAACACAATTGTACATTTTTTTAAGAAAATATTCAGGATATTATTCCAAACGCGTGGTTTTCGATGCAAGTTTACGAGGCTTACGCGGTTACGAGACATTTAAATAAATAACCTGGATATTTTTTTTATAAAAAAATGTACAATTGTGTTTGATTAGAAACAATGAAATTGTAGCAAGCATTTTCGGTGAGATTGCATATTAAATTCGATTACATATTAAATTAGATTACATATTAAGTTCGCAAAATTGAAATCAAACTGGATGTCATTTAAATTTTTAAATTTCCTAAATTCAATTTTTATAATTTTTACATTGAGCATGTTTCGTTGTGAAAATGCACTGAAATATGTAAATGCAAGATCCTATGGACAAGATCCTGAACAGCCCTATTATTTAAAATACTAAAAAGTAGACTGTTTGTAACAACTTTTGTTTTATAAATAGGCAATACTTAAGTACCTTAAAAAGAAACATATTACTTAAAAGACTAAGAAGTATATTGTTTGTAATTCACTTTTGGTTTATAAATAGGCAATACTTAAGTACCTTAAAAAGAAACATATTACTTAAAAGACTAAGAAGTATATTGTTTGTAATTCACTTTTGTTTTATAAATACGCCATATTTACAGTGGTCGAAAAAATTATAGTCGCACCATATTTGACAAGTTTTAAATTTTTTTTTAAAATTTAGTAAATTTTTCATAAAAATATAGTTAATTCTTTAACAAAGCCCGTGTAAAAAATTCCGTTTTATAAAAAAGTCAAAATTAAAAAATAATATGTTAAAACTTGTCAAATATAGTGGGGCTATAATTTGTTTGCCCACTGTATGTACCTTAAAAAGAAACAAAACAATTAAAAGACTGAAAGGTATATTGTTTGTAACCACTATACTGTTTAAAACGGTTTTAACTTAAAAGACTGAATGAAATATATGTTATGTTAACGCCATACTTACCTTGAACAAAAATTAATTTAAAAACCTGAAAGATGTGACGACATTTAAAACATTACCAATAAGTGCCCTCATACTGTGAGTTCAAATTTTTGTTTTCTATCTTAAATAATAAAAACAAAGCATATTCAGTGAGTAGTAATTATTTAAATTTTATTGTTAAAAAGATGTGTCTTCAGAGCATCCCTTAAATCATAATTATTTGAACTGGTGAGTGGCGCAGCCAAATGCAGCTTCACCAAAACCGGAACGATAAAAAAGCAAGGTATCTGTAAAAAATAATGTTCTTAGTAACAAATAATTGTTTAATAACATATATTTTAACTAAAATTCACAATTATACTTGCTGGCACAACAAAGAATGGCGGGTATATTTGCGCGCATTGATTGAATCAGCTGACTACTATGACAGCGTTCAAAGCTACCATTAGGCCATAAAAGCCTTCAAAGTAAAGCAAAGCAAACTAAAGTAAGCAAAGCAAGCAAAGCAAGCGTGCATTGGGCCAATACCTTAAGAGCTCTTTCACCCACTCACCCGCGCTCTCCTTCTTGAACGACCCGCGTCGTGTCTCCATGCACAACACACCGGAAAGCTATGCACATTTGTATCTTTAATTCAAAACTGTGTACTTAATTGGAAGATTATTTATGTAAAGTGTAAGAAAACAGTTTGGAAATATACAAGTGGATTTTTCTGAAATACATTTGTGTTTTTCTGAATTTCAATTGTGTTTTTCTGAAATACATTTGGGGTTGTCTGAAATACATTTTGCTTTTTCTGAATTTCATTTGAGTTTTTCTGAAATATATTTGGGATTTTTTGAAATACATTTGGGGTTTTCTGAAATTCATTTGGCCTTTTCTGATTTTCAGTTGAGGTTTTCTGAATATAATTTGAGGTTTTCTGAAACACCTTTGGCCTTTTCTGAAAATCAATTGAGGTTTTCTGAATATCATTTGAGGTTTTCTGAAACACATTTGGCATTTTCTGAAAATTAATTGAGATTTTCTGAAAATCAACACCGAATGGCCCGAAGTTGTAAAACTACGACCCGAATGAAACACTTCGTGAAAATCCAGGGTTGCGAAGTGGTATTTTGTTGGAAAATATAAAGGCCAGGATTTTGTGCAGCGCCGAATTTTAACAAAAGAGGGTTTTGTGTGCTCAAGACGAACAGAAAAGGGTTACTGTACTGTTTCGTTTTAAGCTTATTTTAATCTTAACGTATCTAATTAAATATTAAAAGGAGACAAAAATTAAAGCAAAAATTTAAAATATATGTACATATCTGAACATTTTAAATAAAATATATATTTTCACGAGAGACAAAGTAAATACAATGGGTTAACTTTAGGGGAAATATACTCATCAGATTGGGTCAGATAGCGCTTTTACGTTATAAGTAAAAATAATTCCTACTTAAATTTTATATAATTTTGGTGACGTATTTCTAAGCTGACCCCGAGATCTGTGAAATAATACATATTTACGTGCATATACATATTGTGTTGATTATGCTCCAAATCGCTAAATTCTTGCAGCAATCAGTACCATTGGAAATTTTCGGAAAGTAGAAATAAACTAAATTAAATTTATTCAATTATTAATAAAAGAAATTGGAGACAAACGTACAATTGGGACGATGTTTTCCGCATCCGCAAACGAATGTTTGCACCCAAATTTGACCGACCATTACCCGGAGCCCCTCAAAAGTACTCAACATCAAAGTATAGAATGTCACAATATGAATTATACACACATACAATAGTAATTGCTATGAATGGCTGCCGTATAAACTCAGGACACGCATTTGCTTGGAGACTCCGAAGCTTAAGGTGGTGATAAGTTCAGCCAGCGAATTCAATGGTCCATTACCCGGAGCTGCTCCAACATGATCAGTAGATTTTAGTGAGGCTCACATGCCACTGCCTCTGGATACTAGAGCTGTCAAACTATCGACGATACTATCGATAGTATCGATAGTCTGGGCACAGGAAATAACTATCGATAGTTCTGGTACTATCGCCACTATCGTTTCATTAATAGCGTATTCTCTTTCCTAGCACTTTTGACATTTGCACGTATTGGTTCAAAGAGAACAAAACTTGGCAGCATTATTTCATGAACGTACGAATAATAGGCCCGTCAGAATGGGTACTTGTACGTCAATAACGGAAAAGTATGCGCAGGAAGTGGCGTACGTAACGTAGAGATACGCCACAATGAGGGTGTTGCATCTGCAAACAAAAATCAGCTGTTCCTTATGGGAGTTTACACAAGTCAATTTTGCAGTAACAATAGCAAAATATTCACACTTTTTTTTACTAATATATTCACACTTCTCTTGATGTCTTCGTCACTATCTTTGACTTTTTGTAGACAGTTCATTGTCTGGACGTCTACTCTACTGAAAAAATGTGACAATTAATACATATTCTCAATTGTCTTGCCTTGTGTAAACGCAGGGTTATACAACTGTCAGCAGTGATGGACTTACGTGCGTCAAAAGTTGAGTGTTGGCCAACGTTCGTTGGGTCCGTCGACGCAAGGGTTACCAATCTGACGCTCTCTATGAAAACACACACAGTCTACTCAACTGTCAGTTTCATCCTTGAGCGGAACGTACGCAAAGTACCCATTCTGACGGGGCCATAAAGATCATCCAGAACGGAGTGCGAGAAAAAAAGTATTTTTTGCAGTGACGTCATTTTTTCGCCGCCATGTGAATGAAACGGAATGAAACCATGTGTGTGAATGAAACAACCGACTAAAAAATTACGTTATCAACTATTATTTTTTTTCTCAAATGCAGTTACAAATACATGGTTGCCGTGCTGGGTGGAAATACCAGAAATTACATTGCCTCTTAAGAGCGTGTCAGACGTGGCAATGCAATATATTTCAAAAGACTATCAAATTGAGAAATTTCAGAATGCAGTTGCATAGCAGTGGCACCTTACATGTAAGTGTCTATATGTCGAAAGAAATTTTTTTATTTCCGAAAGGCGAATTGCAGTGAAAATTTCTGAAATCGCTTTTAGACT